GACAGAAGGCTGGTACACGGGTGAGGAGGGGAGTACCAGCAGCCTGGGGTCCGGGTCACTTTGAGATTTTCTCTGTTCAGCCTGAAACTCTGATATTTACTCGATGATAAAATAAATAACCGCTCGGACCGAACCGCCTCATCCTCCTCGGAGAAGGAGGGGGACAGGAGATGAAATAGGGGAGGGAGGGGGGAAAGAGGGAGGAGAGATGAGGAAAGGAGCTAGGCTTGAGTGTTGGTGCTGTTGTTGCCAGGGGGTCCGGTGCTGGCCGGCAGGTTGTTGACGGTGGGCGGAGTCTCATACAGAGGGGCGTCACGGCGAGGGGGCATCCTCTCGTTGATCAGGTCCAGACCCCGGGCCTCCTCAAAGCTCTGGATCTTATGCTGCGGGTTGAAGCCTTGAATGGCTGCAAGGACACAGATGATGGTTAGAGACAGAGCAGAGCCAGAACCCAGACCCACAATCAGAACCAAGACCCAGAACCACAATGAGACCCAAGACCCAGACCCAGAATCAGGCTAAAATGCAGCAGGGTCTGAAACGCAGCCAGTGAGATCTGCTCTGATCAGAGTTCTGTTCCAGAACCAGAAGCAGTTTGATGCTCCAGATGACCCGTTTCTAGAAACTTTTGAATTTGCATTGAAAGTTCTGTTCTGTTGTAATATTTTAGATTTTAATTATTTAATGTTATTTTTACCAGCTTTTCCCACAGAATAATATGTAAAATTAAAAACATATCATCAATATGTACATTTATACTTTTCTAAAGAGCAGTATCTGTTTATTTTTAAATACAATATGCTTTTAAATTAAAATCAGGGTTATTCAGAAATCCTATTTCCATTTTATAAAAAATACAAAATTCCTATTTTTTTTAAATATTTTTAGGCATAATTTTCTTTAAGAATTTAAATAAAAAAAAGTCCCATTTTGGGGACTCAGTGGATGCATATTTCAAGCATTGTAATAAAGTTGAATTAACTGTTATGTAAAAAAACAGCTTGAATTTCATCTGAAGAATTAGACATTTTCACAAAGTAAATGACAATTTCTAACTATACCAGATTCATTTTCAGCTGCTTTCTGTTTCTGAATCTCTGATTGTGTTTGTCAGCGACCTGGGTCATCTCAGACCCTGCTGCGTACATTTGTATTATTATAATTAGAAAACAGAAAAATGACTGAGTGGAATTAAAACACACTTACTTCATATTCAGACCAAGTCAGCATGAAGAGAATGAAACAAGTTTTGGTTAAAGACCATTTCACTGCTTTCATTGTTCATTTGTAACATCAGAACAGAAACAGGTGCTTTTATTTTCTAATCCTCTACATAAGAAGAATGTTCTCTGAACCTAAGGACTCTTCAGGTTCCACCAGAACCCATCTAACGGGCCGGTTGTGGGTCAGTCTGCTGCTGAAAAAGGTCTAACCATCAGGAGCTCTCACAGGAGGAACGACAGTTTGATGGATGACTCTTATTTTGAAATCAAAGCCAAATTATTTTATAATTGCATGGTTTTATGACTTTAGTAAACAAAAGAAGCAATCCAAATGATCCGAGTCACAGCCAGAATAAATAGATATATCTGCAAAGCATCGCCGTGAGCTATTAAATCCTAATTTATTACAACAATGCATCTGCTACCATCTTATATGCATGTAACAAATGACACTGGGACATGTTTTTATCCTGAAGACTCAGTGGATTATTCATCAGTAGAACATATTTGAGACAGCTGTTAATCCAGAGCTCTCCCTTTGTGTAGACTCCAGCTGTGATTGTGCTACACTCAACAGCAATGGAGGACGCCGTGGCTGCAGCTGTGCAGTATGGGTCTTTGGTTAAACGATGAGTAGATTTGTTGCAAGCATTCAGAAGATCAGATCAATCTGCAGAACCCCTTATTGAGCCAAGCTCATCCTCTGAAGCAGAACCAAAACTACCCAACTAACTGGAGAATAAGAACTACTGAAGGCCAGTCAAAAACACTAGGGATGCTCGATAGGGACGTTTTTACCGATACTGTCTCTGATAAGGATATAAACACATACCAATATGTGTGGGGTCCCCTTCACATAAAAAAGACTAAATAAATAATTTTAGGTAAAAAAAAACATCACATGATATGTTTAAAACTTTAAACGTTGTCTGTGCTAAATGTGACAGATGTTTCCATCTAAGTTAGGCCAAACAAACACAAATCTGTCATCTTTTGACATGTTTAATGAGGGGAGAAGTAGCTGGAGAGTTTGATGTAAAATAAGTGCATGGGATGTGAAATGTGTGTCAATAAATGAGTTAAAACTGGTATTTGTCATTCCCGGTACATTTTTTATATCAGCCGATGACATCAGATATCCCTAAAAGAAAGTCCAACTACTTGAAATGATTCCAAGAGCTTTAATCAGTCCCAAACACATCTAGATGTTGTTGAATTCACCAGAATGAAAGCGACTTTTTAGTGTGACTACTTTTATTTGCCCCTAGAGAATTGTCCGTTTCCAGTTTAGTGTTTGAAGCCAGATTCAAAACTTGACCCAGTTCAGTTTTCCAAGCCTTAGAACAGACTGTGAGCAAAAGAAACTGGCTTCAGATCAGCACGAACCCTTGGCTGGTCTACATCTGTGAACTACTTACACGTTATGTGGTGTTCAGTCTAACCCGACACGGCTTACAGGTTTCTAGTCAGAACGGAGAAGCTGCTTCTAGAATCTGACACATTTCATCACAGACAGACAGACAGACAGACAGGTAGACAGACAGGTAGAAAGGGTTGCATACCTCGTGCCTCTTCTGCCTCTACGGTGGCTGTGTAAGCGTGAGTGGAAGTGCCATGCCCAAAGAAAAAAAAACAGAACAAAAACATGGAGAAAGAGTGGTATTGTTAAACATCAATGCATTCAGTCAGTTACATCATCACTGCAACCGGTCAGTTCTGTTAACACCCCCACCCCCGCCACAAAGGTGGTGCAACAACAACAACAACAACAATCATCATAATCATCATCATCAGTATATGAGAACAGAGGAGTGTGTGGAGTCCATGCTACCCTAAAAAGAACAAGCCCAGGAGGAACCATCAAACACATCCTGATGTTTTAGCGTGGGATCACATCTGTGATTTAGTCTGGGATTACTAGAAATTTCTCCTTCATGTTTTTTTTCCTTTGTTGACCTTCACAGACGACCTTGCTGGGGAATCCCCCACACTGTAGTCCATGTGATCTCAGTCTGGACTTTTATGTGCGAGACAACCACGTCCCCCAGCTGTTGTTTTGTTGAAATTAAAAGTTGCTGCTTGTCAGTCAGGGGAGACGTCCACCAAAACAGACCCAGTCATCTACATATTCAATCAGGCAGGACTGCCCCAGAACGGAGACGCACTCGTGAGTCTGATTCCACACAGACATACAGTGGGTACAGAAAGTATTCAGACATCAATTTTTCACTCTTTGTTATATTGCAGCCATTTGCTAAAATCAATTAAATAGTTATTTTTCTTCATTAATACACACACAGCACAGTTTGATAGAAGACACAGATGGTGAGAAACACGATTCTCAGGTCTGATGAGACCAAGATAGAACTTCTAATTCTAAGCGGCATGTGCGGATAAAACCAGGCACTGCTCATCACTTGTCCAATACAGTCCACACAGTGAAGCATGGCGGTGGCAGCATCATGCTGTGGGGGTGTTTTTCAGCTGCAGGGACAGGACGACTGGTTGCAGTTGAGGGAACGATGAATACGGCCATGTACAGAGATATCCTGGATGAGAACCTTCTCCAGAGTGCTCAGGACCTCAGACCGGGCTGAAAATTTACCTTCCAACATGACAATGACCCTAAGAACACAGCTAACATAACAAAGGCGTAGCTCCATGGCAACTCTGTGACTGTTCTTGAATGGCCCAGCCAGAGCCCTGACTTAAACCCGGTTGAGCATCTCTGGAGAGACCTAAACACAGCTGTCCAGCAACGTTCACCATCCAACCTGACAGAACTGGAGAGGATCTGCAAGGAGGAATGGTTGAGGATCCCCAAATCCAGGTCTAAGAAACTTGTTGCATCTTTACCAAGAAGACCAAGTTTGTTTGTTTTTTTTGTCAATATGGGGTGCTGTGTGTACATTAATGAGGAAAAATGAATTTTATTAATTTTAGCAAATGGCTGCAAATAACAAAGAGTGAAAATCTGACGAGGGTCTGGATACTTTCCGTACTCGCTGTATGAGGCAGAAATGTTCTGGAAATATTCAGAACATCAATGCTGAAGCAAGAAGCATTTCATTAAAGCTGGGGTGTGTAGTTTAAAAAGTATTACAGATTGACCTCCTGCCTTCTACTTCTCAAGGAACATTTAACCAGTTTAAAAGCTGTTCTGTAGAACTCGTCAGGAGACGTTTGCGACAGTCAAGAAGGATTTATTTTGGAGACGCTTTAAAAAGATGGAGGAGCTTCATGATCTACAAGGTCTCAAAACTCACAACGAGCTGGCAAAGTATCTCTCAGACAGGTATGTATTAACTAATTTATCCTATTTCAGAGAATTGTAACCACATTTTATTGTAATAACAGAAATAATAGAGAAGGGGAGGAACTATAGCCATAGGGTTGTTGCTACATCATGAGTCTCCGCTCCTCCTCCTGCAGGTGGTGTTGACTCTGGATCCCTCCTCCCCTGGACAGTAAACACTAACACCCAGTCTCTCTGTGTAGCTAGCAGGGAGTTTAATCTCCACAGCTGTGAAGAAGTGATTTCTTTCTTATCTTATGTTAGCTGGACTCCAAATAACGCCAAAAACCCAAAAATGTTTGTCAGAGAGGAACAGGACCCCTGTCCAGTCTACCTGGAGAATCAGCAGAAATGGCTGGATTTTATCTTCAGGAAGTCTCAAAAACTAAGCCAGAATGTGGCGGTGATTTTACAGACTCCTTGTTAAACCTTCACCAGTAACAGAGTGGGATTTTAGAAGGACTACTTCTTTAAACGGTGCCATTCCAACATTAAAACCACCCAATGGGTCGGCCAGGGTGTTGAGTAAAACCAAAATGGTTATAAAGGTAAATGGGAGAGCGTCAGAGATGGACTGGGAATCTGCTACCTTCTCAGCCACCTTTTCTTTGTACGAGTGATGTGTGTGTGGCACGCGCATGTGTGTCTGCAAGTGGCTCAACCATCCAATGGAGACATGTCGGTGTGAATCTGCAGCAAGCATTAATCTGCGGTCTCCAGGTCTGTAACTGATAGACATGGATGGAGGTGGGATTTCACCAACCCAAGCATCTTCTTTCAAGTTGACCGAATGCCTCATGAAAATCACTTATATTTCATAAAAAAATGACATCTCAATAGTATTATCATAAAGCAGAACAGTGAGTCTGCAGTAGCCAGTGTCAGTGTTTACGCTGCTGCATGCTGGGGCTGTCATTTAAGGGTGGCAAGCTGATAGGTGTAGCGTTAGGAAGTTTATAACGCTACATAGGAAAGGCTGGTGGAGTGGTAGGAATGGAGCTGGACTCTGGGGTGGTGACGGGGAGATGAAGGTTGTACAAGATCAGGGCGATTATGGACAATACTTTTCACCCACTGCATGATGAGCTGGCCACTTACAGGAGCACAATCAGTCAGGCCTGTTTATTCACCCACCATGATGATGATAGTCGTCTGGCTTTGTGTAAACCGTGATAACGACAGAAGAGTTAAAAATACAGACAAAAGTAAGACTACAGCCTTAAATTAGCAAAGTCTAAAGTCTCATTTAAGAACTAAGGGTCTGTCCACTATTAGCAGATTTTATTTTAGCTGCTAAATCCTCCAGAAAAACAAAAATCAACAAGACTAGTTTTGTTTTGCTTTTTTGTCTCAGCATCAGGGAAAGCATCATGGAGTCTTTGGCTCTTTGTAGGGCAGCATGATGGAGCTCTTTGAACTGAGTGAGTTACCACCTACTGTGTGTGTGTGTGTCTGTGTGTGTGTGTGTGTGTGTGTGTGTGTGTGTGTGTGTGTGTGTGTGTGTGTGTCTGTGTGTGTCTGTGTGTGTGTGTGTGTGTGTGTCTGTGTGTGTGTGTGTGTGTGTGTGTGTGTGTGTGTGTGTGTGTCTGTGTCTGTGTCTGTGTGTGTGTGTCTGTGTGTGTGTGTGTGTGTGTGTGTGTGTGTGTGTGTGTGTGTGTGTGTGTGTGTGTCTGTGTCTGTGTCTGTGTCTGTGTGTGTGTGTGTGTGTGTGTGTGTGTCTGTGTCTGTGTCTGTGTCTGTGTCTGTGTGTGTGTGTCTGTGTGTGTGTGTGTGTGTGTGTGTGTGTGTGTGTGTGTGTGTGTGTGTGTGTGTGTGTCTGTGTGTCTGTGTGTGTGTCTGTGTCTGTGTGTGTGTGTCTGTGTGTGTGTGTGTGTGTGTGTGTGTGTGTGTGTGTGTGTGTGTGTGTGTGTGTGTGTGTGTGTGTGTGTGTGTGTCTGTGTCTGTGTCTGTGTGTGTGTGTGTGTGTGTGTGTGTGTCTGTGTGTCTGTGTGTCTGTGTGTCTGTGTGTCTGTGTGTCTGTGTGTGTGTGTGTGTGTCTGTGTGTGTGTGTGTGTGTGTGTGTGTGTGTGTGTCTGTGTGTGTGTGTGTGTGTGTGTGTGTGTGTGTGTGTGTGTGTGTGTGTGTGTGTGTGTGTGTGTGTGTGTCTGTGTGTGTGTCTGTGTGTGTGTGTGTCTGTGTCTGTGTCTGTGTCTGTGTGTGTGTGTGTGTGTGTGTGTGTGTGTGTGTGTGTAGGGGCGGGGCAGTTTCTCAGCAGTTAGTCTGGCTGTGAGTGCAGGCAGGGTGCTTAGTGTTGGCTGGACTCTGGGGTTAGTGTGTAGAGATGCTTGGCTGTGTCCCGACTCACCGCTCTGAAGGGTCCGTCGACCCCCTGACAAAACGCCCAGAGGAAGCGTTCCTGTTGGGGTCAGCCCCTTCAGCTGCAGCACGCTCTCGTTCTCCTCCCTAAAGGGACAGAAAGACGAGCTTTAATAAAGACGGAACCTCTGCTGTAACTTTCAGGACACCAGAGAGTAGACAGCTGACACAGAAAGGTCGTAAAAGCAACAACTCAGCTTAATTACACAGACAACAGTAACATTCATCTGAAGTCGCTGAATAAATATTTGTCTTAGTTGCCGAGTGAATCAACTAGTCAGTGTTCAGTGGTCAGCAGGGGGCAGTAGAGGGTAGAGCTGGCTTCTCTCTCACGAGTCAGTGTTGCAGACTCACAGGAAGTCCTTGAGACTTGTTCTTTTTCTACATCGTGCTTTTGAACCATCACTACGTGGGCTCAGTGCTGCAGAGGTGGGAAAAACCTACAGCGTCTCTGGTTGTTCTGATAAGCACCAATCAGAGCGGATTCTGCACCAGTCTTATGGACTCAATGGAGTTCCAGTGTAACAAATAAATAAATGAATAAATAAATGAATAAATAAATGAAGTCAATCTAGTCCCTCTGGAATAAAATCACCAACTGACCTGACCATGACCACTCCAACCCTCTCTAGGAGAGCATGCAGGTCAATTTACATAAATTATCTCCACCTTCACGGTTTGAAGTCAGAATGTTTACATGGTGAATGTTTGAATGGATCCAGTATGTTGTAACTGAGCCAGACTCTTTCTAAACCTCTGCTGACCTCCAGCTTTTGCCGGGTCTGAGGTGGGAGATTCCAGCAGGAACCAACCGTCTGCGGTACGCTCCGGTGCGGGCGGACTGAGAGGATATTTCACAACACTTGGGAGAGGTATCCATCATGGCTGTGTGGTAGACATGAAGCCGTCATCTCTGGTCCTGGCCGGGTCTTTCAGGTTGCAGGATAAGAATCCTTCCCTCCTACTAAAGCAAACTAACCAGACTTTTCTGAAAGTGTTATTCTTGATTATACAAGCTGCTTGCTTCACTCCACAGAGGAACAAATGAAGGGAATGTGGACTTTGTGTTTTCAGTTTTCACACCATTAGATAAAAGAATTTGTCAGCCAGCTGGTGCCACGCTGTGATGGAGCTGCAGCAATAACCAATCAGATACTCTTCTGGGCCTAAAAAGGTCTAATTTCAGAACAGGAATGACACACTTCTGCAGGATTAAAGGAGGACACGTAGATCAAGAAATAAAGTCATTAAACAGACTAAAGTGGAACAAAGGCTAGAAAAAAAAGACAAAACTGTACAGGAGGGAACCGTTTCTGTCCAATAACCTGATTTATGGGATTTAACATGAAGACAAAAAGAAAAGCACCTAATATCAGCCTAATTCAGAATATCCACCAGTAAACCAGTGAGGGGAAGGTCGTGTTCCACGTAAAAAACATAAAAACAGACCTGAGCACTGAGAAGACACGAGCCATCTTCCCAATTGCTCGGATCTTATTCCTGATCACTTCCTTCCTGGCAGCCGGAGCTCCACCTGGAGAGAGAAGGATGAAAACGAATCAAAGTTTAACTTCACAACTCGATCCTAAATAAAGGATTCCAGCCCAGGTTCTCAGCCTGGATGAGAAAACCTGCAGTGAACCAATTCCATCAGTCAGATGTTAGTGATCCAGATGTGATGGGAGAAATTTAGGCCTTGTGTCTAAATGATGGACTACTTTAGTGGATGGAAGAGTGTGGGAAAGAGCAGGCTCGTCATGTCGGGTCAAGTCAAAGACAGGAAAAACGACAAGTCTGGGCAGGAAAGCAAAGGAAAGTGCCGACTGGGAATGGTGACTCGTCGGTTAAAGCGCCGCGCCCTTTTCCTCAGAGCAGAGTCACAAACATCAGAGCTACTGATGGGGAACACACAAGACTGGTTCTGGATCATCCAGGTAGAACCGTGTCGGGTCTGCTCTGACGGTTTGGCACCAATACAACCAGCACACCCTCCTTCAGACTGGTCTCACTTAACACTCAGACACCATCAGCCAAACCGTTAAACCAGACTCATTCTGATTAACTTGGTTTTGCAACACAATGCTGCAAACGCAGCACGCTGCAGCGCAGAAGGCTGTGAGTGGATAGTAGTTTCATACAAACGGGACAAAACGTTTAAACAAAAGTTCTGAAATGTTCTGCTGGAGCTCTGAGATCGGACTTGTCTCAGAGGCAGAAACTAAACCTTAGATGGAGCCTCCTGAGTACCAGCTCGGCTCAAAAAGACCTTCACCATTTACCTCCAATTGTTCAGTTTTTTATTTTTTTATTTTTTTTTTACAAACATCCCAAAATATCCCATCGTTAAGGCTTCTCACGACTCATTCCTGAATGAAACAAACGTGAATAAAAGATAAAACCAAATAAAGAATTAATATTTATGCAGCTCAACAGAAAACAGCTCAGTAACGGGTCTGAATGAAAACAGAAGCAGCTGATCGATGGGTTCGCATTTCACGCTACACCTTCTTCAGGGTTTTTCTTCCTCCTGAGGCTTAACCGTACTTGATTAATCAGATTCAGTGTTAAACACCCACTGCAGGTCACCATGGCAACATGCCAGCTACTACACTGATGGACTCAGAGCAATCTAGACACACTCTAAGCTTGTGTAGATACTGTTAACCCCCTCAGAGACCCACCTACCCACCCACACACCCACGCGTGTTAGGGTCGTGAAAATGTTAAGGTTTTATGTGCTTATGGATGTTTCTGAATCACTCTGCATGAATTTGAGTCCCAGGCTTTTCTCTGGGGAGTTGATCTGCAGTGACACAAAGCAGCACAGCTAGTGAGGTGAAATCCAGCTGATAGCAGCATGGCAGAAGAAACCTCTGAAGGTAAATATAACAGATAAGATAATAGGTCCAACACCACGCTGATGGCAGAGCCAATTCCTTTAACCTAAAACTGAAGATGGATGAAAGATCGGCATCGACATCGGTCCGATAAGTAAAACTGGGCCAACTTGAACAATTATCATGTATAATCATTTTGTAGCGGTTTGCGGTGTGGGGTGGGAGGTGGGGGGTTTGCACAGCACAAGGTTTTTTGTGTGTGTGTGTGTGGTGGTGGTGGTGGTGGTGGGGGGGGGGGGGGTGTAGTAGTAGTAAACAAAACATGTTAAATGTATAATATAGGTCATCGTCCCAACAGCAGAATCAGCCCATATTTTCACATCGCTGCATCCCTACTAAAGGAACTCCCATCGCCTTACGTTTAAGATGCAGATGAAAAACCTTTTCCCTTCTTTTGCCAGATAAAACTTTAAAGGGCCTAGGAGGTGTTAAAAAATCCTTTTTAGTCTGATATTTGGACACAATCGGGATTTTACTCACCACCAAGCATCAAGTACCCAAGATGTGTGAAAATCTGTTAATAAACATGTCAGCCACGGTTTCATCTTGACCCAGTGAATCCAGCTTCACAGACCACTGATGACCCGTGTTATCAGTTCACTTAAGCTGTGATCCCATCAGATCCATCAGTGCCCACCACCATGGATGTAGCATTTTTGGGGGCCAATACCTAATAGGCACTGGTTGAGCACTAGGACCAAGCGGAAAACAACTGCTTGTGTTGAAGCCCGTCTCCCATCAGAACCGCCCATAAGCTCATCTATTGGCTCTGCTGATATTTGCCAACAGGTGATTGGCCAGTCCTGCCACCGGTGTACTTGACAGTTCTGCATTTCAAACATTGCATAAAAGAGCCTCTAGGCTGCAGTTTTATACATATTTTTTGTATACTTACTTAACCCTCCCACTGTCTTTATGGGTGACCCTGCGAGGAAAGTTGACCATTGAGCAGGATTGATGGTTTATCTCTTGAGGTCCACGTGGCAGGGGTGAGGTGGTGCTCACTCCTCACCCCTGCCACATGGACCCAAAGGATAAACCATCAATCCTGCTCAATGGTCAGCTTTCCTCGCAGGGTCACACCCAATAGACCAGTGTGAGGGTTAAAGCAGAGTGTTCAACATCAGCACACCAGGTCCACCACTGCTGTGTTGTTTTGTTGTCATACAGATCAGCTCATGCTTGCAGGACCCACACATCTAATCAAATCTCCCCCCAGCTTGCAGGAATACCAATTTACAGTGTGACGGCCAATGACCCTCGGACAGCTGGACGGGTTCCCGTCCCCTCTGGGCTCACAGGTGACGGGTAGAAGCTGCACAATGGTGGATTCATGGTGCCACAGAAGAATGTGCAGCAGCATCGGGCCGTCTGACATTTGAAGCTTCATTCACACCGCTAACATTCAGCTGCTAACCCTTCTGAACATCCGTCTGCACTGATGATCTCAAACAAAGTTTAGTCAAATTTGTCCAACAGCAGGGATCGTTGTTCCGCCAAGCCGACTGGTGTTCTATTTATGACAGAAACACGGTTAAAAACCTGACAGTGGAGGCCATTTTAAGTCCTTCATGACGTGTTGACTCAAAGAAGAAAAGATGAGCAGAAAACACGGTTGTAAGTGTGAGTTTGCTGTTCAGCAAGCAGCAGTTTCACAAGTTCAGAAAGACCACGTTTCTGTGAGCGGCAGCAGCACAGACACCAGAAGATGACAAGCCCAGAGGCGAGAAACTGGGTTTACCCTCAATGGGCTCAGAATAACAGCAGCTTTGAATTCAAACCAAAACACGCAGAGTCACGGTCCTCTTACCCTCACAGGTGTCATCTCCTTCAGACATCAGCTCGTCATCGGAGCAGATGTTCAGCACGTTCACCAGCATCTCCGTCACTGTGGGAACAGAAACAGCAGGTGATCACAACACCCAGACCTTCAGCAACACCCAACATTTAGATTGTTTGGATCGACCTAAAGTGGCCCGTACAGCACAGCTCTGTGGGCGGAGCCAGTGGCAAACAGCATCATAGCGCCAAGGCGCCCTACTTTACTCAGTCCTGAAGCTATTTGTCTTTGCAGCTTGAATTAGTGACACAGCAAACGTAGCTCAGACTAGCTGATGTGAGAAATACAGCTTTCATCTTAAAACCTGACAGCAGCAGGATAATAAGTGTCAGTGACATCATCACTAGGTAGAGCAGGTATGTAATAAAGAGTACACGTATGGTCATACGCCAACGTACTTTCCTTTGACGTAACGTTCCAGCTCTGGCGAGCTCTGACACGACAACCCTCTAGTCCTGATAAGACGTGTGTGTTCTGATAAGACCTGAACAGGTGTAGAAGTACCCGCTCATGTCATGTGACATGTTTCTGTAGCTGTAACCGCTAACAGTCTGGGAAAACAGACTTTCCTTCATTCCATTAAAACAGAAAGCTGGGTCTTCCTTTCTCCCTTCACATTTACATTTTCCTCCCTTTATCGGTACTTTTGGCACCATCCTGTTATGAGTTGTGTTATTAAAGACAGATAAAAATAGACCTCAGATGTAAAAGCTGAGTAGCAACAGTCAGGCGGGGGGTTGCCGCGTCACACACCAGCTCCTTAAACAGTGGACTTCACTGTGGGCTCCTCACGCTGAGGGTTCTAACATGTAGGTCGTGTTTCTGTGCGGAGGTTATGAATAATTACAATCCCACACCTTGCAGATAGCTGCCTGAACAGCTTCCGTTTGGAGAAATAGCTTTTATGTTCCTCAGGTAACCACTAACCATCAGCCAAGGCTAAAGAATGTTGCGACTGTTGGGTATTGTTAGGTTTCATTTGAACAGATTTGGAAGGTTGTCCCTGTGTAATGCATGATCCACTCCTCATTTAAACCATTGTGTTGAAATTTGGGGATCAACGTATAAAACGTACGTAACTGTTGTGTTGCCCCCACTAACTCTATTCGCTTAAAATATAGAGTACTTACATTTAATGACTTACTTAACTGGAAGGTATTACAACTTGTGTACCGACCAATGTTCAGAGTTTGTTTGTAAGTAGACAAAATACTTACAGTTTAAAAGGAACTAAAGTCTTTATGAAACCGAAGTTTAGAATGAGAATTAAAGAGTTTATGGAATCACACGGTGGAATGACTTAGACATGGAAACTAAAGTTAAGCATATTTATTAAAAACACTGAATGAACCTTTTGTTAGCTATAAAGACTAAAAGGGAAAAAAGCCTTAGTTGTATTGGGTGTGAACGGTCATTTAAAATAGCTTGAGGTACTTGTGATTTGTTAGGTTTGTTATATAAGGACCCTAACAATGAACCAAAAACTCGGCCAAAAATGACCCAAAGGGGCATTTTCAGTTCTTCCACCAAAATCACAGAAACAGAGCCGAAATAGACAGACAGGTAAACCCGTATTTGTTTCATCTCGCTCCGCCCTCGTGCAACATCTTGTACTGATTTCAACGGTAAAGTTTTTCCCCTTTTAGTAACGCTGTTTTATTACGATCGCTGGAATATTCATATCAAATGTGTGACGCACCTTGTAATTTGTTTCCCAACTACCCGTCTTTTTCTTCTTCTACATTCCCACTACGTCTGTCACTATTAGCTGTGTTTTTACCATCCTTTCTACACCCACCATGTCCTGAACACGATGGAATAAGCGATGGTGTGTGAAGCGTGTTTACTCTCATGAAGCACACAGACACTTTTGCTGCTGCACTAGCTCAGTGGACGAGTGAATATCTTTATCAGAGGGAGAATATTACTCTTCAGAATCAGAGTCAGCCATTACCAAGCAAAGACCTTTGTCAACAATGAACTGAGTTTCTCCTCTCCGATATATAATATTCACCCCCTGTGCGCTCCACTCGTCCTCTTCTCTCAGTCAGGACCCTCCCTACGGGGAGCAGTTTTCTATAAACACCCAAAAGTGTTGCTCAGATTGAAGTTACACATCTCCACTATTGTCTGGTGTAAAGTAATAACTTTACAAGGGATATGGGCCTCCCTGCTTAGGCTGCTGCCACCACAACCCGACCTCGGATAAGCGGCCAAAAATGGATGGCTGGATGAATTTCGTCAACTAGCTGTTAGCTCATTAATCCTCAAAGATGTCAAATGTTTGTTTAAGCAGAGGCCCTTTGCGTGATGTAATAACCAGGTTAAAGTCGTTCTGGTGACTAATCTCAGTTAAAGTAAAAACAGAAGCATAGTCCAGCAGATATTTCTAGAATATTCCAGCTTTGGGACAAGATAGCTGTTAGGAAAAGAAAACAGATGCTCTCAAAACATTTTTGTTTCATGTGAAATCCCAGTAAAGCGAGTGCCTGTCCATCAGTCCCATCCCAGCTGACCTTTCTCCCCGACGAAGGGCAGGGACCAGGTGAAGACGTCCATGAAGTTGGGCAGCCAGTAAGGGTGGGGGGAGCAGTTAAACTGCCGGATGTTCATCACATTGTTCTCATATTTCAGCACCGCAGCTGAGGGTGAAACAAACACAAGTCAACATCTCCATGTCTTGTTGCCAGGGCCTCAAGGCCTCCATCCTGTTGCCATGGTTTTTCCTCTCCTACCTTTATTATTGTACACATCTAGGTAGTTGGGAGCAGAGAAGATTGTAATTAAAGACGGGAAGCCTGTTGTCTGACTCTTCCTGTACATTCGATACCTGAAGAGCAGAAGGAGAGTTGGACGACTGAGGGTCTCTGCTGAGCTAAAGACGATGATGATGATGATGATGATGGAACATTTATTGTTTTACAGCCGAACCCCCACATTACCAGATAGGTGTGAGATACATGAAGGGTTTAAAACAACCAATCAAAGTTCTGAATAGTCCGGGACATTAACGACTCACCCTGCGTCTTGGGCTTCGTGTGCTCGTATTACAGACAACAGGTTATTGTTCATCAGGAAGTCACATACCGCCGGGTAGCTGCAGAAACAAGAACACCGCCAAGGGGACATGTCAGGAACACAATGGACAGAACTGCCCTTCAAAATTCCTGGAGATCGTGAACACTGTAAAATCTTTAGCTGGAAGCAAAAATACAAACAAAAACAGAGTAGCTTAAGGGTTTCCGGATCTGGATTTGTGTTACGGTTTAGTATCACCGCTCACGCCATTGCGAAAATGACTGGGGCTTAGACGTGGAACCTGAAGGCCACACGAACATCCTCCCTGCTCATGTGTGCACTCGTGACTCAGCCAAATAAAGGGACATCACACACACCCATTGGAAGCACACAACACGCACCCAGCAGAGCCAATATAAAACAAACCGGGGACTTTTCTCCTCCACGACCTCTGTGTGGAATCAACATGGCCAATTCAGTTCAAATATTAAGACCGGGTAGAGAACACTAATATTTATTCTCCCTATCTGTGTGACAGCGGCTTTAGCCAGCAGTCACTTATCCAGAGATAAGCCATTGTTTGTAAAAGCTTTAATCAGCTCAGATTAACGAGGCGGCCGCTGTTCTCCGGGTTCCTGAGCAGCAGCGTGTTTCTCTACCTGTAGAAATAAGAACAGCCTCGGACGCTGTTGTGGCAGAAGTGTTCCTGGGTCTTTTCTGAGCCGTAGTCCTCCCCGGGGTCCGACCACAGCAGGTCACACATCGGCCCGAACGCAGGTGGCTCTTTAAACCGGTCCACCTGCACAGAAACAGCAAAACAGCATCAGCGTCAACTACCACCAGAAATGGTTCGCTAAGTTTATTTACTGCAGAACTGAGAGCAAAAACTATTTTTCCTGGGTGTGCGTTCGTCTTTTCAACACCTTAATCTAGCAGCTGAAATGTCTCCTCAGCTTTCATTAGTGTCTACAGGAGTGATTCATCACTAAATAAACAAATCAGCTTTGTTCATGATCTAAAACATGCAGGAAACATGCTGGAACCAGACTGCAGCGCCAGGTATGTCAGCTCCACTTTTTTGGTCCCAACAGAGCAGCCCGGCACTCTGAAGTTGCAAGTGCAATATTCTGGCCACAGGGGGGTGATAAGGGCTGAGTGACTTCTTAATAACCCTGTAAAGGGTCATTTTAGCACATAGAAAGCACAAGAAAATGACTTAAAAATTTGAAAAATTTGCAAAGCATCTCTTTAAATGAAAACAACGCTCAACCAAAAACCAGGTTTTTATTAAAGGCTGGCTACATCCCCCAGGGGAAATACCACTCTGTGTGTGTGTGTGTGTGTGTGTGTGTGTGTGTGTGTGTGTGTGTGTGTGTGTGTGTGTGTGAGAGATTAATTGAATAAATGACTAAATAAACTTAACATTGAACAACTTTATTAAGTCCACTGAATGCCAAACTTATTTGATGAATTCCCTTTAAACCGCGTCAGATCAGCCTATTCTTCATAACAAAAGCTCTGTTTCTACTCAATTAAGCAAATATAGTTTTAAGGTCCTGAGTTTATAGCTGCAGCTTTTGCGTTTTGTCACTAGTTGTTCCTGACAGCCTGGGTGTAGATGCATGAAAAAATGAATGCAGCAATGAGCAGATTTGTTTCAGTATGAACGCCAACCGAAGGTACGAACTCATTCCTGGTTGACAAAAGGACTTCTGCAGATTTCTGCTTCAGTCTGCATCTGATGAATCAAGGCAAAAACAGAACTCAGAAAACAAAACATGATGGACTTGTGAGTAAAACAATAGCTGAGTGACAAATAAATCACCCTGAAAGGAACCAGGTTTTACAGGTGAACCATCTGTTGAGCTGGTGGGATGCTTTAAGGTCGCCATGACAACACGTTAAACAGCACCTGGGAACCTTTCTGGCCACAGAAGGGAGTTTTTATGACTTTCTGAGAAACAAGTTGTTTGACCTGCTGTTTGGAGTTTTATTGCTTCATAACTTTTCAGCAGAAACGCCCCAAAGCAGCCGTTTTGCTAGCTAGCTAGCACCTCACCTTACGGATGTCATCCAGGCAGGTGATTTCAGGACTTAGACCTCCGTGAACGCACAGGAACTGCTGGTTGAGGAGCGCTGCCAGAGGCAGGCAGTCAAACGCATCCATACAGGCATCATATACCTGCTCTGAGTACTTTATTTTACCTGGAGGAGACACACACACACACACACACACACACACACACACACACACACACACACACACACACACACACACACACACACACACACACACACACACACACACACACACACACACACACACACACACACACACACACACACACACACACACACACACACACACACACACACACACACACACACACACACACACACACACACACACACACACACACACACACACACACAGCTGAGCATGTTGCACTCGTCCCTCACTGCCCTGTGCAGCAAGTCGTATACCGTTAAAGACCAACAGTTCAGCAGCAGCACTTACACTCCTGCTTGAAGGTGAAGTACTCTGTGAGATGTCGGCACTCATGGTTCCCTCTGAGGAGGAACAGGGTGTCAGGGTAATTGATCTTCAGAGCCCACAGGTACAGCACACACTGAAAACACACACGCGCAGAGGAAGAGCGTTAGTCGTCGTCACACAGCTGCTGATTTTCACCTGCAGCAGTTAAAGACAACAATGATTCTTTTGAGTCTGTATCTGAAACAGTTGACGGTCTTTTCACCACATCCAAAAGAACACATCTGGCACACAAGCTGTGATGGTCAACACACAGACTCTTTCACCCCAGGAACCAGCAACAACAACCCAGTATAACAGAACAGAGCTAAGAAATAACACTTTTTAAAATACGCGTGCGTACGTACGTACGTATGTGTGTGTGTGTGTGTGTGTGTGTGTGTGTGTGTGTGTGTGTGTGTGTGTGTGCGTGTGTGTGTGTGCGTGTGTGTGTAAAACCGGTGGGACCAGTTGGGTCCAGAATCCTTTCTCTATGATGCTCTACTATACTCCCTGCTCATTATGAGCTGTGTGAGGATTGCTGATTTGACTACTGTTTAATATGAAGTTTTATTCTTTTCTATTCTATTCTACTCCAATCAAGCGGTGATCTCCAGCATTAAAGACCAGCAGGACCTGGTGGACTCCTCTGGACCGTGGTGTAGAGATGAACTACGAGGCTGACAGCAGCGGTTCCCAAACACATTCCTCTAACATGCATGAAGGAAAACCACCAGTGAGAGACTGCCCTTCCCAACACCCCCCACCCCATGTGTGTGTTTTTAGCTGCCACTAACTTCCTGTCTTTACGCACAGAATCAAACCACCTCATCTGAATGTTTTTCACACTCCAAAGGCTTCGACAGCCAGCCAAAGCTGTTGCATCAATGCCAACGAGCCAGACCACAGAGGAGCAGAGGCCAGAATGAGTCTGCAGCACCACGGCAGCAGCATAAAACAATTTTGGGGGCGACAAAAGAAATGCACCCCCACCCCATCTGACCAAACAAGTCAGCTGCTATTTATGGAGCCCTCAGGAGACGTGTTACAGTAGAACCGCACTGCCATAGAACTTGGATTAACCTTTGATATTTGTCATTTGAAATCACATGAAAGACTGGCTCCCTCTTCTCCGTGGGAGCTTTCAGTGGTGTGTAGCTGCACAGCTGACACACTCTGAAGGGAATCGAACACTTCTTCAGGACCCCCATCTAGCAGCCAGCATTTACTCTGCACAAGCATTAATACGCCTCAACCATCCACAGTTTGGTAGGTTCAACACTTCAGAGAGCTGCAGGTGTGGAAACTCTCCCACCAGATGTACAAACACCCAGCATAGGGTCATTTAGTTCAAGCTGCACAATTCACAAAGATTCTCTTCTTTTCAAACACAGAAAGGAGTTGCTGCTCGTTACATCCCCTCTGAATGGTCACAGTTCTATAAAACTAAGAATGTACAGCAGCTAGGTTTAGTTAGGGGTTACTCTGACCACAACATCTGCTTAATTGAAGGTCAAGCTGCCGAGTCTGAATGACTCAACGAGAAAGAGTTCCAGGATGTTCAGATCTCCTGAAACAGGAAGAACGACAGCAGCAAGTAAGGAAAAACCTCGAAAACACTTCCTGCCAGCAAAGCCTTGACCGTTCACTCACACTGGTCGGGGAGAGAGCCTGAATATGGAGGCAGTGAGCTGGGCGTGGGTGCATTAGTGTTTAACAGTGTGTGTGTGAGTGTGGGTGGGGCCCACAGTGTGGTAGGAAGCAAACAGTGTGTATTTCATTTCCTACAACTATTTAAGGACGCTGCTGCTGTAAATATCAGCCTGGCTTTCTAGAGCTCCTGGAGCCACATTAAAACAACACGAGTGCCAGATTCAGCTACTAACAACTGATCACCCTGTTAGAATGGGCGGTGCACCAGGCACGGTCACAAAACTATCGGAGATTGACCAAAATCACAGAGGAACAAACAGGAACTAAAGTGAGAGAATTGACATTTCTAAAAAAGACAGGATTCACATAGATCAGGTAGAGTTTGTGTTTATAAAACAGGATTTTAACCTGCCTGATGAATCAGAACCAACATCTGTGGGTGAAGCACCTCAAATGTAAAACTGGGCAAACACTTACCTCGATGCTGAAGTAGCCTCGATCCACATAGTCCCCGAGGAACAGGTAACGGGTGCTGCTGGGGGACCCGCCCACCTCAAACAGCTTCATTAGGTCAAAAAACTGTCCGTGGACATCTCCGCAGACTGGAAACATAGAAACGTGTTCGGTCTTTCTACGTGTGGAAAACTCAGAAAAAGACTAAAGAAGATGTATACCAGATTAAATCAGGTGCAGAGAAAATGATGTCACTAATACGACTAGACCAATACATCAGGCCGAAATGTACTTTTTATTATTTAGATCAGCATCTTTAGTTGAGCTGATTTAAGGTCTGGCACATTAAATGCTCTAAAACATTTTATTTACCTGTTTTGTACACTTAAAGACCAGATTTACTAGTTTTTTTCAACACATTAGCAGTGGTCTCTAGTATGAATGAATGACTCATGAGTCGATCTCTGTGGAACAAAAGCTCTGGTGCTCCTGTTTCAGGAAGGAAGTGAGCAGAGCTGAGCTTCAGACGGCAGGATTTTGTCTTCTTTCCTGACATCTCGCCTCTGATTGGCTAACAGCAACATGACTACCACCATCTTTGTTTGCTTTGCCAAGTTGATGTTTTATTTCTACAGAAAAAAACCTGGGAGGGGTTCTGTCATGATGTGGAGTTGCTAATGTTAACAGTTAGCTTCTACTACTTGAGATGTTCTCTGCGGTTTCCTGGACACTAAAGCTTGGCTCATACTTCTCCATCAGCAAGTTTGCACTCACACAAACAAACACGTATTGACGAGACTTTTATACTTCCCCGGTGGTGTGTCAATGTTGTGAAGTAATCATCCACCAGGACAACTGAGGGTGTAACATCTGTCTGGGGTGTCTTGCCGTAATTGCGGTTACATTTCTAGTGTGCTTAATAGTGTCTAAATACTTACTGAGAACCACTTGTTTATATTGTCTGACTTGTTCTGCGAGACATTCTCCAGTCTGTTCCGTGTCTATCGCTAGACATCATTGATTGTGGTCTACGTCGCTTTCAATGGAAATCTACGGATATTTGTAACGTTGGGCTCTACTCTGTCCATCCTTGCGAGCCTGTTGGAGACCCTCGTGACCATGGATAATGGTGTTTTACAGATGGAGAAGTATAAACTTGGCCTTAAGCCAACAACAGCTCTCTCCATTGCGAGTCAAGATAGGAAGCTTAAGTCTCCTCCCTCCCGATTGGCTCATGGGTCCCCGGAAGAACAAAAAAATGAATGCAAGTCAACAAGGCTAAAAAAACTATTTTCTAACCCACTTTGCCTTACGCCCTGGATCTCACATATGTTATACATACATTTAAATGAAAATTAATGATGTGTGTTTCGAACATGAAACCATGAAATCACTTTGGTGATGCGCATTTGTAGTCCTGGACTTATTTTGACACAAGTCCTAAAATAACGTTTCCCTGTTCCAAAATAAGCGCGTTCTTGGCATCAAAATGCATCTTTTAAATTCACAGTCATCATATGTGAAATCCATGGTACACAACAAGTGGGACTAGAAGATAGCATTTACATCCCCATTGACATGCATTCATTTTGGTATGGAAGTAGATTGGCGTCACTTAGGCTCTCTATTTAGTATGAAAATGCTAATTTTCAGTGTGACATAGATCTGACTGGCTGTTCTAACCCGAGCGCTTCCCTGTTTATTCTCCAACAGAAGCTAATGCAGAAAATAGGGGTAGAAGACTATTTTCACATTCAGCCTGTATGTTTAACTCAAAGTGAATGATCACATTTAAAAAATAAAAAGTAAAATTGGTCAGTTTATTCATTTTTTATTACCTTTGGTTAAACGCTTGATTTTAGCTCCATGCAATGCACTGAATTAAGAGGTAGGTTCAATTCAGTTTTCATAAACTGATTCAGGTTGTTGTCCATCCACTGCTGTCACTGACCTATTAGCATGCTGAGGGAGGAGAGTTAGAGCAGCAGGCTGTAGCTGGGCTAGGTGAGCTTTATTTGCATATCCAGAAACGCATCGGTACCGGTGTAGAGTTACAACACACACATCAAACTTAGACACAAATATTGTCAGGAAAAACACAAATACTTAACTTTAGTGAATACAAAGAAGTCTTAAAACATCTTAGATATCTAGTGAAGGACTTACCTGTGATAGGAGCTTCCACCTCCAGCATGCATTTCTCTTTACGCAGGATTTCAGCTCCCTCATTGATGATCCGCAGTGCTGCCTCCTCTTCCAGCCGACCCTCCTTTACCAGATGGGCCTTCAGCAGATCCAGGCTGGGCTTCTTGGTCACATACAGGTCTCTGGCAGACAGGCGTGTGCCCGGAGGATATGGCACAGCTGTGAACACGATGGGACACCCTGGTGAGATGTGCAGCAGCACCAAATACACTGATAAAAGTCTTGGTTTACTGTGAGGACATAAAGGCTGGTGCAGGTTCTGCTCAGATGTTCTGCCTCATAAAAGGACAGAACACTGATGCTCCTCAGCTTCTATTCAAGATGTAAACATGATGGGAAGAAATGGAAAGCTTGTATTTTTTGACTTTTTGTATTTAATTTTGTTAAAATTTCTCAACCTTTACTGAATTCTCCAAACAAATCAGCAGCAACTGATATTAAAAATGCTTCAGAGCTTCACAAACTCTGTGTGACTTTAAGACTTCAGATTTTTTTAAAGCGAAGTTAAATTGTATTCTTCAGGAGACAAAAAAAAATGCTTTATAGAAAACGCTTTAACAAACATGCCGTCCGCAGGAAATATTTTCCACAAGGTCACAAGCCCAAAAGATTCATGAAGTCTTTTCTGTCGACACAAAGAGGCTTTCAGCTCCGGCGCTCCTGAGCAACAAGTTCTCAGAAACTTCACTAAATACCAAAGTGAAAAACCTTTCAAACAGCAAATACAGAGAAAACGCGAGTGCCTCAGAAAGGACCTTCATGGCTGCTTGAATATTATTGGCTGATGAAAATGAAACAATCGAAGCGGACGACTCATCTCATGAGTTTTCATCGTTTTAACAGATTTTATAAGGAAAAACAGTTAAATACACGAGTGTTTCTCTCACTAACCCAGTGTCAGACAATTTGAAGTGTTTCTGTAATCTCTTACCCATCATAAATAGCTTCCTGAAGAGCCTCAGTTTGGAAAATTTGAGTTTACAATCCAACAACTAGTCCAAATGAAGGAATAGCCAACTATAGAGATTAAAACTAGTTCAATGTCCTTACGTTGACAGCGGTTCTTGTGATTTTATCTTACGAATCATTTCACCACTACCAGCTTTACTATAGAAACCAAATTCCCTTTGTATTCAATTAAGTATTTATGGCTTTATCAGAAATATGACCAACAGCATGAGGCATCAGGAGTCTCTTCATATTTCTGTTGAAATGTGACGTGAAAGTGGGAATTTATAAAATTACACGTCAAATTAAACTGCAATGAGATTTAGGAGACTACACCAAACCAGCTTCTGATGCAGGTCCATTTGAACTGTACTGGCAAGCTGAATACTAAGAATGTAAGAAAATATCCACAAACGGAATATTGCAATATTTCTTGCTACAATATTGAACCGTTATTGAAAAGCAGAAATAGTTTTTTAAAATTTATATTGAAATAATGTATTAAATAAAAAATAAATTTACTGTATTTAATGTATCACTTTTGGTCAAATTCAAACTCTGACTGCTAGGTGGCAGCGGTTTTTAACGTCTTCATTCTTACAGAGCAAGATCTCACAATGACGGATTTGTCAAGCGTCTGACCTGAGTTTTCCAATTAAATTCGGTCTTAAAAATTCTTAAAAGTGCAAATATTATTGCAAATATCATTCGTCTTTTAGAATCAATATATCACATCGTCTCCTCTGTATTGTGATATATATCGTATCACCAGATTCTTGCCATTAGACTTCCTTAAACTTCCAACTCAAACACTAGTGATAATGAGCTACGATGTAGCCACAGCTGCCCTGGGGCGCACTGACTGAGGCGAGGCCTGCCGAACACTGGCGCCACCGGTCCCTCCGACCACCACCAGCAGCATTCTCTGGTGGGAGCTAGAATTGAACCTGCAACCGTACGATTACTGGACAACCCGCTCTACCTTCTGAGCTACTGCTGCTGCTGCTGAGCTACTGATAGGACTGGTAGCTAACTCCACTTACTTTACATATGATAACACAATATGCAAACAACTGGAAGGCTTCGCCATGGGTAACCCATTATCAGCTATCCTGTGTGAGTTTGTCATGGAAGACCTAGAACAAAAAGCCATAGCTACTGGCCCCCCCAAACTGCTAAATAAAATTATGGAAACGCTACGTAGATGACGTACTGGAAATCATACCAAAAGGACAACAGTAACACAACACTTGAATAACATTGACGACACAGGCAGCATAATGTTCACTTATGAGTCAGAAACAGAAGGCAGCATAGCATTTATGGACATGAAAATCACCAGGCAGACCAACGGGACCCCAAACATAAACACATACAGGAAACCAACACACACAGACCAATATCTATTATGGTGTACTGGATGTACTGGAGCTGGTTGAAACAGCGGTCACAGCACACAACGCCCGTCTGAAGGGTCGACTCAGGTAGCATCGGCAGGCGTCAACAAGTTCACTCTTATTTTGAAGGAACGTCGTCTTGTTGGTTCAAACGACGGAAATCTCCAGCTTGACCGTTCTCAGCTTAAAGTAGAAAGTACAGCTGGCCAGCCTGTAACTTTCTTAATGATGACGATGGAAATCCTTAGGACCTCCACATGAACGGAACTGAGGTTAACATGGAACTGAGTATAAAATGGCGTTGCCTTGTTTTATATCCCCTAATTGTTTACCAGTCTTAGTAAACCGGATTGGACACATTAAGTAAACATCCCAGATTCTCTCGACGACAGACGAAAGTTCTGATTGGTTGAAAACAATGTATCATGCGTTTCCATGGTAATGTAGATCAGTCTGTCTGGTGCAGCCCTGTTTATTCATTAAACACATAACTCATGACATCTTTATTTCACAGATCATTCACCTGATTATTAATGATCAACATATGCTTTGATTAGCTTATCACAAATAAAGTACTTTGATTAATTAATGAAAAGCGTTCTTCTTCTCTTCTTCTGTCTCTTCTCCTGGAATGTAAACATACTGAACCAACCGTCCGACCTTGGCGATGTTACTGTGTGAAGGGGCAGCTGTTAAGGGCAGACAATTATAATCTTCATAACGCTACAATGGACATCAGAACACCCCACCATACACAAAAATGTCAGTAATCAGAACATTATATCACCGAGCAAACATGGTAACAGAAGAAAGAGACCGTAAACAAGAGGACAAACACATACAACACACTTTAAAGACCTGTGGATACCCGACATGGGCAATATACAAAGGAAAACAACAAACAACAACAGAAAAGAACAACCAAAGCAACAAATCAGAAACCCAGAAAGACAAGAACCAAAACCAGTGATAACCCTACCATGCATCAAAGGCATAAAATAAAAAATAAGAGCAACAATGAAAAAACACAACATAAACACACCAACAAAACCATACACAACAGTTAGAAACAGACTAGCACTCCCAAAAGACAAGATACCAGCTGGACTTAAATGTGGAGCCATTTACAAAATCCCATGCAAACTCTGCAATAACACATACATAGGAGAAACCGGACGCCAACTCAACACACGAACAATAGAACATAGAAAGGAGTGCGAGAAAGAGGCAAGTCGAAGATACACAAGAGCAGGAAAAGAAGAAACAGAAAGCACAATAAAGAAGTCAGTCGTAACAGATCACTGCACAAGAGAAAACCATATAATGGACTGGGACAACACAAGGATCATAACCACCGAACAACAGAAATACAAAAGATGGATAAAAGAAGCCATAGAGATAAGGAGACGTGGATGTGGGACCATGAACAGGGACGACGGAGTTTACACGCTGGACCACGCATGGGACTGCATCGTCGGAGAGGGGAGAGCGGGCAGTAGAGGGCGACAACGTCCTCTGCTGCCCGTGGATAAATGGAGGCGGAAGCGACGCCACCATCAGCGTCAGCTCTGAGGAAGTTCGCAGCCGTGAACGAAACTGTAAGCAGCAAGGTAAAAAGAAACCTTTTCTGTGTTTTAAAAAAGAAACAACAATGCCGTTATGAACTGTAATGTTTGTGCTAAAAGCCCTACATGTTTTAATGATAAAGTATTAGTGCAAAAGAATTTGAAAAAGATAGAAAAAAAAAGTTTTGGATTTGAAAGGCTATCCTAAAACATGTGAACTCAAATGTTTGGGCAGTGAATAACCACACACTGATAACCTTTACTGTGGCAGAGGAACAAACAACAAAGATCTGACGAGTTCCTCTTTCAGCCGTGGGGTCTTCCTGTTGGGTCACACTAGTCAATAACAACAACAACCCGATTCAGTCTGCAGTTCTCCTCTACATCAAACTTCCTGCAGTTAGAACTGTCTCACCCAAATGACTTTCATCCTCACCTCCTCCATTAACTTTGCTCCCTTTGAATAAGATGAATGATTCATCAGGAGCCTAAAACTTTAACTGAATCCCCCAATTTAGTTGTCACTTTCAGATGTAACAATCGTTTCATTCATGCCGTTTGAAGAGAGAAGCTGACGAGGAAGGATTTCGGCTCTTTTCAGAGCGTCTGCAGCACTGAGCAGCTGTTTTCTGTCCCAGAGAGAAAAGGGGATGTTTCAGGAGAACGTCAACATGCAGCAAACATCAGGTCGCATCAGGTTCCACGCTTTCAAAGAGTCAAAGAGAAGCTGCTTCTCGCTCGGCTGAGGCTTCTAAAAACGACTGCTTTCCACGCGCCGCCACATTGAAAACCCAAACCTGCAGATTTTTTCCTAGACGTTTGCAATCCCGCCAAAGAGCTCTGATGGCATGTTGAGGCTTGACCAAAAATGTTGGCAGCTCAGTCCATTCCCTGAAGGAAATACCGAGCAGCTTAATTTCTGGAGTCCGCCACAGCTCCACGGAAAAATCCGGCACATCAGAAAGAGGGGCCTGTGCTAAAGCCTAAAGGTTTTTTCATTTATATTGATACAAAAATCAGGGAGGGAGAGCGAGAGACAACATCAGCAGATGTAGAAGATCTTAGGCCCTGATCAGGATCCATCAAAGGTGTCTACAAAGAAAAGTTTTTAATCCCTGATCATGTCACACCTTAGCTACTCGTAGATTTTAGAAAGAACTGCTTTGTCACATTTTCTTATAAACATGTGAGCTCAGAAATTAACCCAGATAAAGCATGCAGGAATCTAGACCCGTAAAAAGTCGGGCAA